TAGCTGCATATAAATTTAGATACCTTTATGGTGAACTATTAATATGAAAATTTGTTGTTAATATGAAATTTCCCTTTTTAAGTAATACTTCTTGCCTTAAAGTCTACCTTCTCTGATATTAATATAATCTATGTGCTTTGTTTGGTTAGTTGTTTGCATGACATAGTTATCAAACTTCTCATACTATACTTATTTTTGCTCTCATATCTTTGTGTGTATCTTATAAGCAGTATATAATTGGATCATTTTTTTAAAAAAATCTGACAGTCTATGTTTTTTAATAAGTGGTTTCATTTACCCAAATATGAAATAATTAAGTTGGGTTTAAGTCTATCACATTGCTATCTGTTTTCTATTTTTCCTTTTTTTTCTTCTTCCCTTCATGCCTTCTTTTTTTTTTTTTTAATTAATGACAGGTTTTAATATTCCATTTACCTTTTTTTCATTTTCTTTTTACTATCAGACCTTTCAGTTAATAATAGAATTTACAAAATGTATAAATATCACTTTCAGGGGCTGGGGATGTGGCTCAAGCGGTAGCGCGCTGGCCTGGCACGTGTGCTGCCTGGGTTCGATCCTCAGCACCACATACAAAAAAGATGTTGTGTCTGCCGAAAACTAAAAAAAATAAATAAATATTAAAATTCAAAAAATAAATAAATAAATATCACTTTCACAAATAATACAAGAATCTTATAACAGCTAATATCCACTTAGCTCCACAAACATATTTCATTACTTTTACATATTTTATTTCCTACCTTTGTTACAAACCCCATAAACATCTGTCATGATAGAAAAGACTAGTAAAAAGTAGTTTTTTGTATCTACTCAGTACAATAACATGGGATTATATTCTTTCACCCTGAATAAATCACTTTAGGATTTCTTACCATGTTGGTTTGCTAAGGATGAACTTCACAGTTCTTGTTTATCTGAAGACTTTTATATTTTCTCACTTTAATATTTTGAGGTGCTTTTTGTTGTTATTTTGTTTTTGTGCAGAATGCTAGGTGTATGGGATTTTTTGTCAGCTTTTTAAAAAATTTGCTTTCGTCAATTTAAAGATGTTAGTTATCCCATTGTCTTTCACTGTCCATAGAATTTTCAGAGATCAACTATCAACTTTATTGTTGTTCACCAAGAGATATTAAATTCTTTTTTCCTGGCTGTTTTTAAGATTTTTTTTTATATCTCGGGTTTTTAGATGTTTGCTTATGATACATTTAGATATGGTTTTATTGTCCTGCTTGTGATTTGTGGAGCTTTTTGAATCTTTAACTTTATTATTCATTAAGAGAATTCTCAGTTATAATTCTGGGGATTTTGCTTATCTCTTTTCTCTTTCTCTTCTCCTTCAAAAATACCAATTACATATATGTTAGACCTTTTTCCTGTGCCCCATATCTCTGTGTTTTTTGACTTTCCATTGCTTATTTTCCCCTTTTGAGTTCAGTTTAAATATTTTCTATGACTATCTTTGAATCTAGATTGAATCCAATGGTTCTTAATTTCAGATATTTCAACTTGCAGCTATAGAATGTCCATATGATTCATATTTGTATATTCAAATTCTCTGCTGAAGTACTTTATCTTTTCATGTATTTTGTCTATCTTTTCCTCTAATTTAAAAACCATAATCATTAGAGTTATCTTGAAGTCCTTTCTCCAATATCTGATAATCTCTGGGTCTGCTTCATTTGTTGTTTTTTCTCATGGTTACTGGTAGTTTTTTCTTTTTCTTTTCCTTATTATATGCATGTCCAGTGGGTTTTTGTTGTTATTTGTTTTGCTTTTGTCTACCAGATATGGTAGATAACATAGTGAAAGGGCTCCATATGATATTTCTCTGAGTGTTGAATCTTGTTCTGGTAATGTCTACTTAAATTTGTCCCTCTTCATATTGTGTAATGCTTGGAGTTCATGGTCCTTAATCCTACTATTTGACCTTTTTGGAGTCTCCATTAAGTTCCTAGGCAGTCCTAAAGGTTTGTAATTCTACATTTGGCTAAGCCTAACTCTGTATCCCTATTCCTGGACAAACTCTGTGATCTCTGACCAGTTCTCAGCCTTTCAGAAACTCGTCTCAGCCTAATCTTTGCTGGAGTCTTCCCCGTATTTATATCAGGCTGCAGCACTGTGGGCTTTGGGCGCCCTGCAGGTTGGTCACACCTGCCTGGTGGCTGCTTGTCATGCCCAGCACCACCTGGGGGAGAGGCTGTCTGGTTTGTGCATGGCTGGGCTGGGCTGGGCTGGGCTGGGCGGTCTGGGCCCTGGGCTGGGCACCAGCTGCTGGGAATCCCTCCTGAGGGAGGGGAAACAGCTTTGAGGCTGAGACTAAGGATGAGCTGCAGGTGCGGCACAAGGAGGAAGACAACAGAGAGTTGGGAAAAACTAAAAGGGTTGTGAAGAGTGAAATAGCATATTGTTCACATCATTTAATTTTGACACATGCTTATGGAGCACCTATAATATGTTCACCATAAGTGAAAATGAGAATCGAAGTGCTCGGAATAAGTAGAGCTTATAGCAAAAACTCATTTAGTAAAAATCTTATTAAAATGTTATCAAAAGCTGGGGATGCTTTAAGATCTGATTAAGAAAGTTTGAACAATAATAATTAGGAGTGAAGTCCCAGAGATATTCTGTGTTGGTGCCCCTTCCCTTAAGGAAAGGGCCAAAATGAATTTCAGTGAAGTTGGTCCTTTTGTCTCCAAAACAAGAGCAGAAATTAATGACTTTGCCAATCTGCCATTGCCAACCACTGCAGCAATAGATGGACTTGCACAAGGTGGTGGTCTTAAATTGGCTCAAGACTGTGATACAGGAGTAGCAGCTTCCTCTGCAAAAATGGGCCTTGTTAAAACAAAGTTGGCAATTATTCCTGGTGGAGGGGGAACTCAGTAATAATCACATGCCATCAGAATGTCCCTGGCCAAGGAGCTCACCTTCTTTGCGGGAGTCTTTGATGGCCAGGGACAGAACCAGGAGGTGGATGCTGTCTACAGAAAGACTCTGGACCTAGCAAGAGAGTTTCTACCTCAGGAAACTGTTGCAATGAGAGAGGCAAAATTAGCAATTAATCAAGGAATGGAAGTTTATGTAGTAACAGGATTAGCCATAGAATAAGCATGTTATGCTCAAACTATTCCAACAAAAGACAAACTTGAAGGTCTTCTTTCTTCTAAAGAGGAAAGGCCCCCTCACTATAAAGGAAAATAGGAAAAAAAAAACATTAGTTTTTATAGTGTCACTGTGATAAAAGTACTTCTGAAAGTATCTTTCAAATCCACTCTGATGCCTCAGCACATGGAATCTCAATGACCAAAGTGAAGAGCAAGTAACTCATATAGTGTGTTAAGCATCTGGAATGGACCCATAAGTGTACTTCATGCCAATGTGTATCATGTTATATTCACTCAGATTTATAAAACTAGCAGTATATATTGTCAAAAACAAATTTAAAATTTAGATATATGGGGCCGGGGCTATAGCTCAGTTGGTAGAGTGCTTGCCCAGCATGCACAAGGCCCTGGGTTCAATCCCCAGCACCACCAAAAAAATAAAAAATAAAAAATTAGGTGAATGTTTTAAAATAGTTCCTGCATATGAGGTTTTCCACTCTTAATTTTTTAATGTGAATAATGTATATATTGCACATTCTAGGGAATAATATTGATTATTGATTGTATGTCTATCTACTATACTGCATTAAGAAAATAAAATAACTTCCACATATCAAAAAATAATAAATTCACAAATTGATTTTCAGATTAATAGACTATTTCGGGGGGTCAAAGACAGCATGAAAGTACAAATGCTCAGATTTTTTTCAAATGTTAATTAAGAGTGGAATAGATAAGCCTTGTCATCTCATTCCTCCTTGCGTTTGTTTTTCGTTTTGTTTTGTTTTGTTTTCGGTACTGGAGATTGAACCCAGGGGTGCTTACCACTCAGCTATATCCCAGATCTTTTAATTTTTTATTTTGACCCATGCTGTTTACAGAAAGACCCTGGACCTGGCAAGAGAGTTTCCACCTCAGTTGTCCAGGCTGCTTTTGAACTAATGATCCTCCTGCCTGAGCCTTCCATACAGGAATGTGCCCTGTGCCCAGCTCCTTCTTGTTTTTTGATGAATGTGAAAAACTAAAGGAATAAAAATTAGGTACCTTCATGAAAATGGGCATACACATAAAATTAGATTAAAGTTAAGGAGTCCTATAATTCCTGTTTCTCCTACAAATTACCTTAAAAGAATTCAAATATGAAGTAGGAAACTAAAATAAAATAAGACAATTCCTGGGTAGGAGCCTAAATTGAAATTTTCATGGTAGAAAAGCTGTTTTATACTCTTAGAACCAGAATTTATTTTTGTTTCCCTCGTGTTAGAAGGAATAAAGAAGTTTTTAGCAAACCCTGATTGCCTAATACTTTATTGCTATTCACTTGACATTGAAGATAAAGTTATTAAAAAGTTTCTAAAGTACATGCATGTGTGTGTGGGGGGGGGGAGTGCTGAGAATCTGTGAGGTACTTTTAAAATTGGGCTTATTATGGCCAAAACATATATTATATCATTAAACATATATTGAATATTTAATGTTCAAATAATGGAGGGGTGATAAAAATCATTGTTCTTATATTCAAGGATTTATTTTAATTTTGTGGGAGGGGTAAATAAACATAATCATGAAAGTAAGCAGCCACTTGCTCCACTACAGTGTTAGGAAAGTTCAAGGAGAGGGATGATTTTATTTGTGTGAGTAGAATGAATCAAAGTTTTCAAGAAGGCAGTGGCATCAAATTTGGTCTTAAATTTTAGGTAGAATTTTGACTATTGGGAGAAACAAAAGGATAGAGTGTACAAGATAGAAGAATCACATAGTCAAAGAAAAGGAAATAGAATAATAGAAGCCCAGTTTGCCAGGAAATTAGAAATAATATTGGGAAGGTAGTGTCAGTCTGTTTTTTGTGTCTGTAATAAAATACCCAAGACTTGGTGATTTTCAAAGAATGAAAGTTTATTTAGCTCATGGTTCTGGAGGCCAGGAAGTCCAAAACATAATTCTGGCAACTACACAGGGTCTGTGGGGACTTCTCACTGCATCATAAGATGGCAGAGGACACTACATGATAAGAAAGAGCTAGCATGGTAGCTAGGGCCTCTCTCCCTCTTTTATAAAGCCACTAATCCAATCAAGGGGCCCTACCCTGATGACCTCATCTAATCCTAATAACAACCCAAAGATCCCATCTTCCCATGGGTCCCCATAAACACATTAATTTGGGGATTGTTTCCAACACATGAACTTTGGGGAGACACATTCAAAGCAGAGCAATTATTGTGTGGGGTCTCCCTTTTGGGAACTTAATGCCAGATGGAGAATAAGCCAGAGGGGACCTATTGTTGATCAGAAAAGCACTGTAACTGGAGCTCAGGAGTATCCATCTGGCTGTGAGAGAAAATATTGAGACCTGAGGGTCAATGCCACATGAGAGCTTCCAATCACCTGATCTTGGACAATGTAATAAGTTCTTGTAAAATTGTTTATTTAATCTAAAAGATTGTCCTGTATTCTGAAGTTGAGTACCTTACACATTATTACCATTGTTTAAATAGTCCACAGAAAAAAATATAAGGTTAGGGTGTGACTCAGCTGTCGAGTGCCTGCCCAGCACACAGGAGACCTGCCCAGCACACACACAGTGTTAGGTTTGATTCCTAACACTGAAAAATAAACAAATAAAAACCTTAAAATGTCTATAGAAAAATGAGTGATACTTGTGATCCTCCTGCCTTCAACCTCCTAAGTAGCTGGGATTTACAGGCATGTGCCACTGTGTCCAATCTGTCATAGATTTTTTTTTTTTAAAGAATGTTTTTGTCTGGCAAAATTTAAAGTTGGCAATCCCATATTGGTCCTGAAACCCTTTTCTGAAATACCACAGGTGAGAAAACCAGAAACCTAGGAACTACTAGCACAGGGTAGGGATTTGGACATGGGGGAGATTGGAAATAATGTGAATAGTCTTAGATACAGTGGTAAAAAGGGGGCTGAAAGGAGGAAAGATACTGGGAGGGAAATTAGAAGAAGAATAGAAGTTCATTGGATTAGACAAAGGGGAAGGAAGGAAGGGGACAATGGGAATAGGAAATACAGTAGATTGAATTGGACATCACTTTTCTCTGTTCATATATGAATACATCACCAGTGAAACTCCACTTCCTGTATAATCACAAGAATGGGATCTTAATTAGAATAATTTATGCACCATGTATGTGTACTATGTCAAAATATGCTCTACTGTCATGTATGTCTAAAAAAGAACAAGTTTTAAAAATTAGGAACAACCATTTGGCTATGGGAGTCAATGAAGGACAATTTTAAGGGTGCCACTGATAAAAAGAGGGAAATTGGGAGGATCATAGTCTGGTGGAGGCAGAGTGAGCAGAGGCTGGTAAGGAAGATTAGTTTTGGAAATATCATGTGGATGTCCCTGCAGGACAGCTATTTAGAAATGTCCAACAAGCAACCAAGCTACTAAATTGTTAGTCTAGAACTCATTAGGAGGAATCATTTATTAATAAGATAATAGACATTTATTTTATACTTCTATGAGCCAAGCACTAATTTTATGGTAGCTATATTTACATGTCATTTCTATAGACTCCCTTAGAACTGTCTTCATTAAGTATGTGTTATTTAATATTTTCATTAGATTATATTTTGTTTTGTGATGCTTTAAGCCTGTAATTCAAAGCAATACATTGCAGATTCAACAGTATTCAAATTTACAATTTATCCATAAGATTGCAAATGGAAGGAAAACAAAGGTTAAATAAATAAGTTTATTATTGTATTAGTTAGCAGAAGCTACAGTAACAAATAGACCAAGTGTGTAATGGCACAGCACCATGAAAGTTTCTGTCTTGGTCACAGTTGCTCTCTTGATGGATACGTTAATAAGCTGGTGAGATGGCTCTCCTAAGGGACACAGGCTGAGAGAGTTTCCACCTCATGATTTCTAAGGTCATTCTGTCATATCCATCTCAACTGGCAAGCATGGGTGATTTAGGGCCTTGAAGTGCAACACATTTTTACTCACACTCTACTTGCTAGGACTCAGTCACATGAACACATGTAACTGCATTGGCAACTGGGAAGCACTGCCAAACTTTGTGTTCAGGAAGAAGAGGAAATGGATTTTGTTGAACAATTAGCAGTCTGACATAATTTGCATTAAATAATCTGAGAAAACAGTTAAATTCTACTCCATAAGATAAAGAACATTTTGTATATCAATGAATAGAATCTTTAGCACTGCTCCTCTGGAAAGTAGTTATGGGCACTTACTTAAAAAGAACTTCTATTCATGTAACAGTTATTCCATGCTTTAATAGAAACATAAAACTGTTGAACTCCTATAACATTGTTTAGAGTCCTTGAAAGGATATGATTTTTTTTTTCTAGCTGAAAAGCAATCTCAGCTAACTGACCTGAAATGGTGGGAGAGAGGAAACTATTCCAGTATTGATATGTTTTCTATAAGCATATCCTTGATGACCTTCATCTTTGTTTCTAGGAATATGTTCCTCTTTTATGTGTTTGTTGTCCTGAATTTCTTTTACTATCAGTATTTTTTCTTCAAAATGGTCCTAAAGTGACTGCATCCTTCCTGTAACTCTTACTTAGCCTAGGACTACTCATCTACTTCCAAAGACTTTGACTGTAAATCTCATACACTTTAGCTGAGTTCTGCATTTGAGCCTGAATTGTGTACTTAGAGTAGCACATAGGAACTCATTTTCAGTAATACGTCACTTGATATTTATGTTTTATGCATGAAATATAACAAGTTGGTTATTCCTATCTTTTGATTACCCCTTAAGACTAAATTATTTTCAATTTAAGATCAAATATCTTTACTGGGGATATTTTCCTCAAAGTCTTATGGTTATCAACAGCTCTGCTTTGATAAGTATTTCATTCACACCGATATATTGTTTATTCTGACATAGGACTGGGAAAGGGATACCTTCAAAAAAACATTAGGATTCCATATATTAGCTCTGCTTTAGGTTGTTCCTAGGTAAGTGGTGTAGTCTCTCTAGTAAGTAGTAGCAATCAGGAGAGAAGCTGAGGTGGGGGTAATAGGGATCATTAGAAAACTTTCACAGTGATACTGAATTAGATCACTTTTGTGGAATTTTTTGCTTTGGTCTCCTAGCATCAGAACACTCTTTGGGCAGAATCCTAGAATAGCTAGGAGGCAGGGTTACACATCCCACTGTGGAAACTAAAGGGGGCACATAATCTTTTTCTCTGACAGCTGGGCCATCTGCAAATATTCTTGCTAAGGGCTTCAAACCTTAAGGGAGTGACACAAAAATGCAGGATGCATTTGCAGCAGTAGGGTTGGTGTGGCGGGCTGTCCACCGCTTAGAGATGACTTCTCTGGTGGAGGTCTCTGCAGAGTATCCTATAGTGTCCTCTTGGCTGTGCTCCAGGGTGCCCAGCATTCCATTTACTGCTCATTTTTTGGACCTTGTTCTTTGGTTCTGTGTTAGCCTTATTTAAAAACTGCTTTCTGCTTATCGGTCGGGGTAAATTTCTGTTGTTTTCATCCAAGAATTATGACTAACACAGATATCAGCTACACCTAGGTTTTTCCATTAAAAACAACTGTTTTTCTTTTGAAAAAAAATTATTTATCAACCAGAACACTTCAAAAATTAAGAAAAGCAACCCCCCCCCAAAAAAAATTATAACTTCATCACCCATAATAAAACCACTGTAAAAACAATTTAAAAAAACATTTTGTTTGGGTACATACCCTCTCTGGCCTTTTTCGTGGGCATATGAATATATTCTTCCTTTCTTTAGCTATTATAAAAAGTAACATGATACTATGGTCAACGTGCTTGTCACACATGTTCACACACTTGCATCCTGAACTTGCCTGCTCTTCGGCTTTACCCTCAGCAGTACTTTCTCACATCAGCTCAGACATAGTGAGTTGGCCAGCTGAGGGAAAAGTATTTGTCACACTTTGTTTCTTTTCCTTTGGCCTCTTTTCCTTTTTTTTTTTTTTTTTTTTGTGATACCGGGGATTGAACCCAGGGCTTTGTGCATATGAGGCAAGTGTTCCTCCACTGAGCTACATCCCAGCCTATTTATCACATTTATTAAAATTGCCTTTGAGTAAGTAAATATATGTGAAAGTCATATAATTCTCAAACACAAGAATTTATGTAGAATGAGTTCAGGTAAATTATTGGGCCAGAACACCAATCTAGCAGAGTAAAACATGTTCCTCTGCTGGGTAAGAGTCCTCAAATACCTACCAAGGCTATCTCATTTGGTCATATGCAAATAAATTAAAAATATTTACGTTAAAAGTGCTAGAATCCAGAATTTCCAGAGAAAGTTTAAGGTGGTGCATACTCTTCCAAAGGAACTCAACATTTGACTAGAAATACAATAAAAATTTACTAACTTCTCAGAATGCAACAAACTGATCTCTAATTCATGAAGAATTGTAGAATATATGTTTGAAAATAGATCAATATATGTAAGAACAAATAACAACTGCCATTACAAAGCAAAGAATCTGAGAGGACAATTTTGCATGTATGCTAAAGATTATGAATATCATTTGCAAATAGCAAATACATTGGAAATTCTTATAAAGTCTGATCTCTACCCTTCTATCCTAATATATTTAGTACCCTTTCTTTATAGAGGTGCAATACAACCCCAGATGAATTAAAACAAATTCGTACACTCTAAATTAATTGCTTTTTTTTCCAATCTAAATTGTCTTTAGTCACATTCTTATTCTATGGCTCCTCATTCCATTATTTATCTTTAAGGCATTTTTTTTTATACAGCTATATCTTAATACTAAAAATAAGACCTATACCTCTGGTTTTATTCCTGGTAAACAGTAAACAAATTTTCCTCTTATTGCTACCTCCAAATTATTTTTAATAAATATATTTAAGGAGCTGACTCACAGAATTTTTAGTGATTCAAAACAAGTGTACAGGTGATAGGTTTTTTTTTTCTCTTTCAAAATAAACCACCTTTATTCTGCTTTTAAGATTTCTATGATTAGCTTAATTTTTAAAGTCACATATTATGGACATCTTCATCTAACTGTCTTTTCTCTAAGACCAATCTATTGATATGGTAACTATTCAATCAATGTTTTTTTAAAAACGTTAAATATTTTATTAAGGAAAAGAAAATTAGGAATAACTTTTTAGATCCTGGGTCTCAACATTCCTTTGCTCTTCAAATCAAAATTCATAGTATTCACATTTGTTACCATGGATTTCAAAAGAATAATCTACATTTCTAAAAGCTATTTATATAGGAGACAAAAGAGAGTATAATTAAGCTGGAGTCTTTCCATATCATTGTCTTTGGGGTCCAAGCAGCAGATCCATAGTGTAGGTGAAAGAGTACTATGGCTAGGCTCCAGTATATGTGCTTCAATTGAAGAATAAAAAGCTGAACTGTGAATACATTAGCTTGACTTATGAGAAAGTTGCTAACCAAAGGGTCTCCATCTTTAGAGACCAAACAAGAAAAAAACCATCTAAAATGGCAGTAGCAATAATGTCCATATTTATAAAAGAGTACTTTTCAACACATATCAAAAGAGACTAAGAACACACATTGCTTGTGTCTTTGAGAACAAAATGAGCTGCTCATTTGTCTGGAATGATTCTTGATGGAAAACATTTTGGAACATTTCCTTACTTGAAAGCCATCTTTTTCTCTAGGGATTAAAAATTTTGAATTGTATCTCATTTATTCTCCTCAGTGGAAATCAAGCCATTTCAGAAGTTAGAGACTATATCTTTTATAATCTAACCTTCTATAATCTATATAGGATCACTCATTGAGGAACTCCACCTGTTCCTATTACATATCAAAATTCTACCAAGATTCCTTGATATAGGGCTTATTTTCTTACTATATTTTTTAAAATGTAGACTCACTCAGGACATTTGTTGACTACCATAGTATGCAATAAAATTTAATTTAAAAACTGTAAATTTAAGAGCACTTTTTTTTGTTTAGTCAAGTCTTGTTAGGACAATCAGTTAACTTTAGCTAAGCTATATTACTATTTCCTTTTGATAATAAAAAATAGACAAAAAATCATATTAAAACTTTCTTAGGAATAAACAAGAAAATTTCTTCTTTCAAAATATGTTGGAAAATGGTCAGTACTCAAAAAATAATTTTGTGGCAGGGGGTGGGTAGGTGGGAACTTGATCAGAAGCACTTGACCACTGAGCCACAACCCCATCCTTATTTTGTATTTTATTTAGACCCAGGGTCTCAGTTGCTTAGTGCTTTGCTTTTGCTGAGGCTGACTTTGAACTCGAAATCCTCCTGCCTCAGCCTCCTGAGGCAAAAAATACTTTTGATGGTTCAGCTTCTGTAATGATTGACATTTAAGGAAACCTTCTTTCAAATTTTCTAACACTAATACAAAAGCTGTTATCAAAATGTATAAAGATGCTTCTAAAACAAGTTAGATTTAATATTTTGATTTGGTGATCAGTTTATGATATTTTTTTTACAATTTTGTTTCCATACAATGTTCTTAATGAGGGTTTGGGCTTCCAAGTCATTCTCTTCACTCCTGGTACACCAATGTGAGCTCTTTGCTTCTGTTTAGCAATGCTGGAAGCCTGCACATCTGTGCACTTGATTGGTTGGCTTTAAAGGGATTACTCCTCTGGAAAGGCACTGTCTCACATCATGTTGCCAGCAGTGTGGTCTCAACTGTGATTAAAAGTTTAGGTTGAAGATGAGCATTTATCCTGAAAAACTTTAGGATTCTTGTATTGTAGGGATTTCACACACCATATTGACTTAAAGTGTTTCTGATGAAGAGCTCTGTCATTAAAACCATCTTAAACATCATATCCAGAAATAACAACTGACTCAATGGCAAAGAGGTAATTCCCTCTTGTTTTAATAGAAGGGAATACAATTAAAAATTTTTCAACTACACAAATAGTCTTTATCAAAATTAACAATATCTGAGGATGAGATGTCAGCTAATCCAAGAAATCATCCTATTTATACTTAGATGAAATAAAACAACGACTTTTAATTTTTATTTTGCATTTCCCAGCTACTCAAACATTTGTCAATTTTCAAATTCATTATTTTACCTGAATTTACTGAATAAAATGCTTAGTTGCAGTTTCATCAGCTTGCAATTATTAGTTACTACAGATTCTTCCCCAGTGTAAGGATTCTGTTTTATTTATGTTCTGTAGCTCTTTATTTCCTCCTAAACTTTTTGAGATCGACACTGTATCAGTGTTATGTAACCATATTTTAAATTTGTAACATGCATACATACATACAAGTTTATCTCTCCCTTGAACCCATGACCCTGAAAATTAAACACAATGTGTCTAAAAAGAAAAAAGTACCTCGGTGTGTAGGGAAAGTGTAGACCTGTAGAAAGACACTAAAATAACAGTTGTATGGCATACGAAGGTAAAGATGTTATCTGTCCTTGTTGATAACAATCCCCTTGATTTATTAACAGCACAGGCAGCCAATTTAGCACACAAACCAGGTCCTAGGGTTGGCCATTAAGAAGCGGCAACCCAAAGGAAATTAGGACTTTAAAAAACAAAGCAACACCCCCCCCCCCCCCAAAAAAAAAATGGTAAACCGAAAAACCTGGAGAAAATACTCCAATTAGAGTCTCCTTGGCAACTCAGATGGAACCAAATGACTCAGGTGGACTATTAGAATAAACTGTGCGCCGTTCCCTTTCACTAGACCTATGAAGCCCATAAATTATGTTTGGCCCATAAAACTAAGAGTTACTAGCACCTTCCTTTTCTCCTTTTTAATATTCCATACATTCAGCAACAGTTCTTAATCCGTGGTCTTCATTCATTTATTGCCTAAACGAGATCCTGAGTGACTTTGGCGATCACTCCTTTTAAGCGGGCCTTATCTGACAACGAAATTAAAGCCCTCGGCGGAGAGAGGGTCAAGACCGAGCGGTAAGTCATCCAAAGGTGGAAGCATCTTGCTCTTATTTACTTATTTATTCAAGAGGCGACGATGGCGGCGACCAGGACGAGGACGAGGACGGGGGGAAGGGGTGCGCGGGCTGTAAGCTGTACCCGTGGGGTAGGTCTCTGCGGAGTGGGGTCAGCCACACTCCCCCAGCTAGACCCGCCGGACCCCGAAGACGACCAGCCCCTCCCCCACTGCACCCTTCACCCCTCCCCCTCTTTCCTGGGCCTTTCATCAGCCCGCCAGCTGCCCCCAGACCTCACTCAGCCCGCCTCCTTCCGCAGCTCCCGCCTACAGCGCGGGCAGGCCCAGGGCAGCCCACCAAGCCCTCAGCCGGGCGGGGACCCTAACCCGACCCCTCCGGCCGCGCCTCCCCCTTGTATAATGCACCTGCGGCCCCGCCCCCGGCCAAACACTGAGGTGGCGGCGGGTAGGCAAGGCCGGGCAGCGGAGCCCTCGAGGTGCAATCACCTTCCCTTCCCCCGCCATTCCGCCCACCCCGCTGGCTCAGCCACCGAGCAGCCGCCGCGCTCCTCAGCCGCCCCGAAGCCTAAAGGGGTCCGTCTCCGGCACCACAACCAAATGGCTGAGCCTCCCTGGCCGGCTGCGCAGCCCGCCCATTGGACCCTTCCCCCCCCCAATGCCGCCACAATTGGCTGTTGCCCGGAGACTCTCAACAGCGATTGGCTCAAGCTGCTGCCCCTCATCCGCGAAGCCGCAGATCCCGCCTCCATGGTGATCAGGTTAGTGTGCGCCGCGGGTGCTGGGGGCTCGAGAACCGAGCGGAGCTGGTTGAGCCTTCAAAGTCCTAAAACGCGCGGCCGTGGGTTCGGGGTTTATTGATTGAATTCCGCCGGCGCGGGATCCTCTGCAGAGAGAGAGCGCGAGAGATGGACATGGACAAACGGATCCATTTAGAGCTGCGGAACAGGACGCCCTCTGATGTGAGCATTTGCCAAAAATATCTCCGTCGGTCCATTCTCCTACTTTGTGTGTGTGTGTGTGTGTGTGTGTGTGTGTACGCGCGCGCGCGCGTATTGGGGGGAGGCACTTTTTTTTGAGGAGGGCGACCCGGAGGTGTAGGCTTGGGGGTCGGACTGCAAATGAATTGCAAGATTGGGGGTTGCAATGCCATCCGAGCATGTTCCGGCTGCCGCCGCCGCTGCCCTTGGTGTGTGACTACCTGTGCGTGTGCTCCCGCGTGTGCGAGTGTGGGTTCGAGTGTGTGCGTGCGAGTGTGCACCCATGAGGGGCCAGCAGGCGCACGCGTTTGGGTCGGAGAGAATGGGGCGAAATAGCCCTTGGGGCTCCCTGCTCCCATGACTTCGTCTGGGGGAAAGATTAACGAGGGAGGAGGGAGGAGGAGGAGGAGAGGGGCTGCCTCCTGGATTTAACAACAAAAAGGGGGGGTGTTATATTTTATACATGTATCCCCCTCCTTCCGCCCCCTCCCGCGCCTGCCCCCTCCCTTTCTCCCTCGCTCGCGCACACAATAAGTTTTGGGTTTCGCGAGTCCAGTTTAGTTTCTGATAAATGTGGGCCGAGGCCCCCAGGGAAAGCGCGTGGGGAGGGGGCTGCAGTGGAGTTGGGAATGGCTCGAGTTTAAAGTGCGTCTTCATTTCTTTGCAGTGATGAGGCGAGAGACGGGGGAGCCATATTTGTAACTTTGTAGTGTTCGTGAACGCGCCCTTTCTCTCCCTCCCTCCCTTTCTCTGCCTTCCTTCCTCTCCTTCTCTTTCTCCCTCACTCTTTCCACCCCACCTTTGGGCCAGATGCTGATGTTTCTTCCTTTCCTAACGAAGGGAGGATAAATTGGAGGGAGGGGGAGGGAATTTCGAACGTGCAAAGGCACAGATAATCCCCGCGCCTCCCCACCCCGAGCGATCGTTAGTGCAAGTTGCCCAAAGGCTACGTCCCGGTCCCCCTCGCCCAGCTCCCTCCTAAGATGCCAGCCTTTGGGCCCTGGTGCCCCTCAGCACTAGCCCCTGGCCCGTCCTTCTCCCGGATGGGCTCCCTGGCAGCCATTCGGCACTTGGTTAATAAATGGGCACGAGAAACTTTGTCAGGACGCGAGCTGCCCAGAGCCGGTGCCCGGGGTGGATATTGGCTGGGTCCACATTTATGCGGGCATGGCAGACGCGCAGCTTCTGGATGGGAGTTTGCCCTCCCGTCGCCGTTATTGATTGGGCAGCGGCGGGAGTCCGGCCCGAGGAAACTTACACGGGTGGGAACTAGAAGGCTCGGGCGAAAGCCCACCTCCGAGGAGGAAGGTGAGGCTGGGTGACTTGAACACTCGTTTTTATTTGTTTCCCTCTTCCCCTTAAAACACCAGTGTTTTCTGCGAGTTGGCGCTCAGCGGAGGAAACCCCTGGGCCTGGGGCGGAGACGCTAGCTGACTCCCCTCTGGGCCCTCGGGGGCACCAGGGGCGCGCAGGCAGGAAGACCCCGCGTCCAGCCTCGCCTCGGTGCCCGGGGTTGCGCGGAGTTGGGAGTCCGGGCAGCACCGACTTGTCGCCCCTCAGCGTGTTAGACCCGAGTCCTTGGCGAAGGCAGGCCTGGCTTCCTCTTTTCCCTAGTTCCTCCCCCAAACCTGAGTGAGACTTTTGAAAACAAGATCCTTTTTGTCCCCCCACCCCCATCATAACGCAGCTGTGGACTGTAGACGTGCGAGTGCCTTATGGCGCGCAGGGCGGGGAGGAAGGGGTGCCGCCACAGAAGGCAGGAGTTTCCGCGAACAATTTGCCGGCAGCCCGCTTCTTCCCGGCTGGGACCCCGGGCCCGAGCTTTTGGGGGCTGGGTGTGGTGATGGGGGAGGGGGCTCGAGCCGCGGTCTTCCCGCGTACTTTCCGGAAGCCCCCTGTGCGGAGGGGGAAGGGCGCCAAGTAGGGGGCCGGGGTCGTGGCCGGTGGGTGTGGAGGCGCGGTGGCCGGACCAACCCGACCAGCGCTGCTGGCCAACTGGGAGCGACGTCGAAAGCGGGTCGAACCGGCTCTTTAAACTTCCCCGAGTGTGTGCTGGGGGAGGGGAGCGCTCCGCGCCGAACTGGGAGCGATTTCTCACGCTTCGCCCCCTCGCCTCCGAGTCCCCGGCCCACACGCCTGCCCCCTGCCTCGAGGCGGGGTGGGGCGCGGGTGGCGGGGGAGGGGGCACTTTCTGCACATTTGGGGGGGAGGGAGAGAAAGCTCGCGAAAGAGGGACAAAAGGGGTGGGGGAGGAGGAACTGTTTTTTAAAAATAAACGTTTTTAAGACGAATAGCTACCGGAGAGCGCCCCCTGCGCCCCTCCCCGCCGCGCTCCCACCCGGGCCCCCACACACCCACCTTTGGCACCTCTCCCAACTCGGATCCGGGGGCTGGTAGCCACGCCGCGACGCCGAACTAGGACGAGCAGCCATGTTTCCCGGGTCTCTCGCGGCCGCCCCGCCCCTCCCCCATGGCTCGGCCGGCGCGCGGCGCGGGGCTCGGAATTCGGGCTCGGGCTCCGGCTCCATGCGGCGCGGAGCGGCGGGCGCGCGGGCCGGGAGGGTGCGCCGGCGGCCTGCGGCTTCCCGAGCTGGCTCCGAGCTCCAGGTGTTTTATTTGTGATCAGTATTTTAACGGCCAGGCCCGCCCGGGGCCGAGCTCGAGGACGCCGAGGCGTTATTGGGGGGGCGGGGGCAGTCGCCAGGGCCCTGCGCGCCTGTGGCACGACTGCCGGGCGCCGGGCTGCCATTTTGTCACCGTGGCTGTTGTCGCTGGGGGGGGGGGGAGAGCGGAGTCTTGCGCCATTGCCCCGACGGCCTCTGGCTTGGGGAGCTGGCTCCAGGGACCCCCGTTGTGCTCTGCTCGCCTCTGGGGGTTTCTACCCCCCGCCCACGGCCTGAGGTCTGCTGGAGCGACGATCCTCTTCCGAGCCCCCCCCCCCCACCACACACACCCAGTCGGGCTCCCTGTCCCCCGCCCTCTTCTCTGGTATTTCGCTGTTCCTCCTGCAGGCAGGCGTTCTAGACGTAGTTAAATGTGGCCTTGAGGACGAACCGATCGTCCTGGCGTTAGCTCCTTCAGCGGAAGTGATAGGGTGAGGGGAAATTAAACATGAGGTTTCTTTTGGCGGGCGGGAGGGTTTTGAGCGCGCGACTCTAGTGGCCCTGACCGAAGCCAAGGACAGCAAGCAGCCTCTTACCCGGGAGGGGACGAGGTGTCGGGGATGCGCTGGGGAAACGCCCTCCGGGGCTGGGCTCTCCGGGAAGGTAGGTCGAGCTGTGTGTTTCAGGTGGGTGTCGAAGCACCCTACCGGTTGGCAGAGCCCCCTCGCTCTTTTTCCTCCCCTCATTTTTGCCGGGATAATGAAGTTAGCTACCATACCAAACATAACCCTAAACTGAAAGAAGAGTAAGGTTTGTTTTGCAAAAAGTAAACTGCCTTTCTCGGGCTGTTAAAGCCCAGGCAGTTTATATCTTCCAATGCTGTTGTCTCTGAGACTTTTAAAAAAGCAACGTAGACTCTGATGTCTGCCTAGATACTAACTTTCATGGCAGTGTCTGGCAAGAGCTGCCCTGGAAGCCAGCTTTGACCTTTGGAGTACATCGCATGATGTTTTCCAAGCTGACTATATACTGCCTAATTGGGTCTAAGTAGCTCGATATTAACTCCAGTGTATGCAGGCTAATCTCGGATTCATAGGCAGAAAATTGAGATCTCCTTATAGTTGTGATCAGTTGAATTTTGTTACTGGTGCTGTTGATGATGGCAGTTTGATTCTGGAGGATCCATGATGAAATTAAGCTGGGCTTTGGAACCGCAGAGACCTGGGTTTGAATCCCCTGACATTGAGGTTGGAGGAGCAGTTACCCACCTTTCTGAAGTTTGATTTCTTGTAAAATGGAATTGTAATCCTGTTTAATCAGTAAGTGGCAAAATTGGTTTGATCTAGCCCTCAGTAGGTGCTCAGTATATGATAATGTCATTCTCAGAAAGATATTGGGGTGCAGTGAGGCATAACTTGGGTTTCTTCTTAGTTTAGAATAAGAACAATAACAATAGCTTATGTTTATATACCCCCCATGCTGGGTCTGACACATTGCTAAGTGGATTAGAGGTAGCAATTAATCTATCCCCACAACAGCACTATGAGATAGATACTTTGTTATCTTTACATTATGCTTAAGGAAATTGAAGCAGAGAGCAGTTATCATGTGACTAATAAGTGTCAGAATCAGGACTCAAAGTCAGCTAGTCAGTACTCAACCTCAACCTTCTATAGCCTCCCTTGAAGCACCGTATTTTACTGTGTGTGTGTGTGTGTGTGTGTGTGTGTGTGTGTGTGTGTTGGGGTAAGGCACTATGGGGAAGAGCTTTTTCTTCTCCACCTTTGGAATGGTGCCACCTTATGAAGAGTGAGTTTCTTGTTACTGAGGTATTGAAATGAAGACCATGTAGTCTCCTGGTTCTAGATACCGGGTATGAGGGGGTGTTCAACCATAGGCCCTATGCATTGACATTTTAAGCGAAGCCATACAGAATTTGGTTTAGCACGTCACATCTACTTAGGCTCAAATGAATCTGGCATTTTAGGTGTCAGGGGACACATTTTAGGTAACAAGATAAGCAGGAGCCACTCTTAGGCAGTGGCTTATATGGGATCTTGCATGTAATGCATGAACAGAATTGGTATGTCCTTAGTATCTGGGACAGTATACTAATAACACCTCATGGATCATCTCACTTAATCCTCCCAACAACCCCTTAAGGGTAGGCCAAGCAGTGCAGCATCATCTGGCTGTCAGGATGAATCATCTAGGGTTTGGAAAGGTTAAATTGTGGCAGACAGCAGAGCTTGGTGCTCCACTATAAAACCAGAGGTTAGGTGGACAACAACTTTGAGCGTTGTGTAGTCCTTTGGGACCCAAACATTGTCTATTACCAGAATCATTTGGAGAGCAAATGCAGATTTCCCAAACTCTACCCCTGGATATAGGTTTACCATGGGGTCACCAAACCACAGCTGAGCTGCCTGGTTTAATAACTGCCATGAGCTAAGAATAATTTGTACATGTAAACATTGAAATCAGTTTTATGATAAGGAGCACTGACTTTGAATCCCAGTTAAGCAAAATGTTATCTACCCTCCCAATTGTACCTGTCTCATTAGCAGAACTGTGTCCCCCCCCCCCCCAAAAAAAAAATTGAATCTAATATATTTTGAATTTTATCAATAAAGGAATTGTGGAAATTTGTTTTCACGCTTGTTATAAAAGTGCCTGTGTATAGTCTTTTTTAATTTTGCTTCCTGATTAAGTTTGTTATCTAGCCCTTTGCAGAAATCTGGCTTAATAGATTGAGGGGGTGACCCCAGGGATCTGGTGCTTATTTCTTTAAACATATGGAGAGTCATATATGTGGATCTTTCCAAGACCTTTTGTATGTGCCCTGAGCTAGTTTGAGCATGAGAAGTTGTCCAAGTACCACTCTTTGTCAAGATTCCCAGAGACAGGTGGAAGGAACTTTGCACTGCAAAGATTCGAGGTTTGAGTCCCAGTGACTGGCATCAGGCTCAGGACAGATTGCTGAAAACCACAAGTCATCTTGGGATCCTAGCTTGGGTTTCAGAGCCCTTATTTTTCCCACCAGCCTCTTGTGCCTGAGGTACTGAGAAGGAATGGATAGAAGATGCCAGGCTGATGGGAGGAGGAAGTAAATTCAAGGGGACAAATCCTCATTCCAGTAAGGGCATCCTGTACTTTAAAGATGGCAAAACACAGACCCAGTTTCCTCTCTGTGCTGCTGCTGCACCACCAGCCTCTCAAGGTAATTTTCTTCTAGTCTTGGGGCTGTTGATTTTTTTTTCTGGAAATTGTGCACAACACTCATGAGATGTCTGCTTGCTATTCTGTCCTCTCTGTCTTGGTGTAGTCATTTCAGAAAAGAACCAAAAGCTATTGCTCAGTGGAGACTGGGCCTTGGTTGAATGAACTTGGTACAACTTTGGCCTGACTTCGTTTAAGAGGCAGCTCCTCACTTTGGTGTGCAGAAGGGGCACTATTAGAGATATTTGCTACTACATCTCCATTGTGGTCTGCTCACCCCTGCAGGACTAGCTAGCATTCTGGTCTTTGGGACCTATGTTCCACCAGTACCTAGCGCACAGCAACACTGCCTCCCTTTCACAGGCAGGTGGAGAAATGTGGAGCTGACTCAGAATCTTATGTTACATTGGAATGTAACTATTTGGCAAATACTAAATGCCCAACAATGATGTTTTCATTAAAGAGTCTGGCAGGGATGGAGATTTGTGAAGGCATCTGTTATTCAATTTAATGAAATTGGTTGAAACTAGATGAGCAAAGCACCCATGGCCCTGAGCTACCTTCCAAGACATGATAGTAGCCTTCATGTATAGAAGCAGTTGTCCTGATGGTATTGGTAATTCAAAGTCCTAAATAAGGTAAAATGTCTTTTTTCCTGCACTCTAATCCCTGCTCTGTATCGTGCCCTGCAATCCATGTGTTTTTCCCCAAATTGATTTTATTTTAGCTTCATGACTGCCCCCTGCTTTTTCCTATCATTTCCTTTACCAAAACTTGCTCCAGGGAGCAGATCTAAAAGATCAGCTTACTCTACTATTACTCTGATGTGGATTAAAGTCCAGGCTGTGTTTCCCAGAGGTATTTACTTTTGGAGATTCCGGTTTGGTGAGGAAATTACCAGAGAACTATTAAAGACTTGAGTGCTGTTTTCAGCTTTGCTATTAACTAAGTTGGACAAGTTCTTCAACCTCTTGTTTTTCTCCACATCTAAAGTGGGGGTGTTGAATTAGATCAGTAGCATCCAAATATCTTGATCCTAATAATATATGTTTAGCACTAACATGCATATACAGCATTAAAAAGAAAATGTGCTGGTTTGGGTGCATAAATTGATTTCATACCCTGTTGCTGTTGAAAGACATTTAAAAGATGGATATTAAGGTATTCTCAGATATTGTTGATTTAGTTTGGGGAAGAGAGTGCTTTTTTATAGCAGTCTTGAGAAATCTCCCTTACTTTAAACCAGCCCATCTTTTGGTCCCCTCTTCTCCTTACTTCTAGCTCTTTTCCACCCCAAATAGTCACAGAATAAGGAATCATTGTAGCTTCCTACACCAGACAGATGCCTTCCAATTTTCTTGGTTGTGCTAGTGGCCCTCAGCCAACCATATCCCCCCACCCCCTCCTGTATGTTCATCCCCTCTTGTCCCCCATTCTTAAGTGTGCCCTTCACTATGGAGGTTTCTTGAGGGCCCCCCACACTTTGTAGCACCAAGTCAGAGGATTGTAGAGGGGATATTGCCTAGGTGTCTGTCTCCCCCACTTCCACCTGGGATGTTTGGGCAAGTCCCTTCACCTCGTAGCACCTTCCCTTTTTGTCTCTATAAGATGAGGGTGTTATAATACTGATCAACAGTCTGGTACACTGTAAGCACTCAGGAAATGCTGGCTGTTATTGTTACAGTCTGTTCTGCTAGAAACCTTAGTTGGCATTCATTTAAAATTTTTTACATTATCAACAGGCACATTATATTAAAAGGTAACATTTGTTCCCCTGGGAAAAGAGGTTGTAAGCTGGAGATTCAAATTTGCAGGAAGTTATATTTCCCTGGGAGCAGTTTAATGGTCGGTGTGCTGCTGTTCCTAGATCTGGGGATAGCTGGAGCATCCAGACATCTGGAGCAGCCCCAGTACTGTATCCAGGGTAGTTGCCACTTGAGATTCAGCTGCAGCTCCTTTTCTCCCTGCTGCTGCAGCTATTTCAAAGATATCCGTCCACTCCGCACACTTCCCACTGGCCTTACACCTTCCCCTCCCAGCCTGGGACATCCTTCTCATGGAAAATTGAAACCTGCTTTCCTAAGAAATGCCTCATTCAAATATGCCCAAATCCCTTTCCAGCTCAGAGCTGAGAGAGTACATGGGTAGCTTTTTTCTACTTGAGTCTGGGCATAAGTAGGATGCAGCAGGATCTGCTGGGCTAGGAGAGTTGGGAGAGGGGCATAGTGAAGCTCAGGAGGGGAGAGACCTGCCAGCCCTGCTGTGCTCAGGTCTGGATTTCTGGATTCTGCTACCTTCTGCAGACATTATGAGAAGGGTTGGAGGGGATGAGAGTTTGTGTAGGAGGGATAGCAGGAGGGTGGAGGCAAGGACCTATGATAGTAAATTTAGAGGGCTCTTGCCTCTAGGGGAGGGACTCATCCCCACCTTATGTAACTAGCTCTCACCTTACCATTTATGATTGGCTTTCCTGGCAGGCAAAGCAGTATGATTGTGAGGGGAAGAATAAGAGAGAGTGAGGGAACCACTTCCACTGACCTGTTTATCAGCCATAGCCTGTGCACAGCCTGGGCACCAGCATCCAGAATGAGGCAGGGATTCTACTTAAATGGACTACTCTACTGAAGTATTTGTGTAGCAAATTTAATTGTTTGAGTTCAGTACAAGTGAGAGAAGGACATGACAGGAATGGATTGCACAGGCTTGATATTATCTGGTTTCCATGTAGGAGTTGGAGTGATAAACAGGAGGAAGGAAGGGTGTGTGGTTAGTAAAGCAGATTTCAACCCCAGCTCTACGTTAGAGCCACCAGGGAAGCATTTGAAGAGATTCCCAGGCTCTGCCCCAACTACTGAATCTGTTTCCAGGTGGTACCCCAGTGTGTGTATTTTTAGAAAGCTCAAAAGAGGACTCTAAAGCACAGTTGGAAACCTCCACATGGAGGGAGGGTGCAGAACTTCACAGCAGGTAGGAAGAATTATACTAAATTGATGTAAAAGAAGAGGATGTGGAGCAAGGAAATAAGAAAGGTCCAAGGTTTAACCTGCTAGGATGCAGGAGTCCACTCCTTGGCCTGTCCCCCCATGCCACACAGGGCACACAGAATCTCCCCCTCACACGTCTACTCAACTGCACTTATAATCTCTCATGTACCCCTATTTCCTCAAGCTGTGGCTGGAAGTGTAATCAATTGGACTTGGACGGTCCTCAGTCTGAAGGGTTTGAGAGGCAGTGGGCCTTTTATGGAGCAGGAAGGCCATCAGGTGTAATGGGTAGTGCCCTAGGACTGCTGAATTTGAGGTTACTGGCAGATCTGAGCCTTGGTTGTTACCTTCATAAAATTGTAAATAACAGTAATGCTTTTTCTCCAGCAGTTGTTGTAAGGAGTTGTGGCTTTTTTTTTTTTAACATATTTATTTATTTATTTATTTAGTTATTGGCAGACACAACATCTTTGTTGGTATGTGGTGCTGAGGATTGAACCCGGGCCGCACGCATGCCAGACGAGCGTGCTACCACTTGAGCCACATCCCCAGCCCAGGAGTTGTGGCTTTTAAAGCAAGTGGGAAGCCTGGGCAGAGGACAGAGCCCTCAGCTTTTTGTTGAAGTGGGGCTGGAGGAACATTAGGCAAGCTGCCTCTCCACTCCTGGTCTGGCTGCCAAACTCTGGGTCTGCGACTTCCAGTCTTTCAAAGGGCTCTAAGAGGTTCCTTTTCCATGAAGACCTCCTGGACCCACCAGGAGAAAGGGACTCAGCCAACCTATCAGGTGGTGTCCAGGTCATGCAGCAGCAATCTCCTTAGCTAATTCCAGTAGCACCTCATTTGGGTGTGTGTGGTACCTTTCTCTTGACCTGTCAATCAATGTCTCTTTGTATTCTAGCCAGAGGGCACATTGAGGGTATGTGGAGCCCTGGGCTACTCTTCCACAGCTGGGGACAAAGAAGTGCTCTGGTGACTACAAAGTTGTTTCTCAGGCTTCCCACCTGCTTACATGTGGGAAGGGCCTGTTTGTTCTGGCTCAGGGGCCTGTTTTTTGTATGTGGATGGAAAGGAACTGGCCAGGATGGCCTCTTAGGCATTCCTTCCACTTTTGCATGTTTCCCCTTTGCTGTAGAGTTTGGGTGTACTCTATAAGAGTGGGCTGTATGTACTCTGACGCCTCCTAGCTGTCTCCGGTAGGCCTGATGAAGCCTGTCTGCAGAGGTTGGCCTGAAGCCATAATGAGCGGTTCTGCTCCTCTGAGCCCCCATCTAGTTTGCAGCTCTGCAGACGTGCCTTTATGTGTCTTGGTTGAGAACTGGTCTGTGAATCTAGAGAGGTTTCCTCTAGAGGAGAGCCCTCTGGGTCTGCTGTTGTGGGTAGGGGTAGCAGCAGCTGAAATGGAATGCTGATTGTCCTCTTAAAGCTACAGGGTACTTAATTCATTGCAAGTGTTTGGCCTATGTGGGTACTCAGGAACCTTGTGCCAATTCTAGTGGCAAGTGTGATCATTGTCAGGACACAGTCACATGTGGAAATGAGGATGTGCCTCTAAGTTTGATCAGTAGCCATAGGCTCCAGTGAAGTGTGGCTCTTGGTCTGAGAGGTGCCCACCATACCAGAAAGCAGACTTGGATTGGATTTAGTGTCATGTTAGCACGGGAGCACGGGAGGCTTATTATGGACCTGGATGTCCTGATGAGGAACAGGGAGTGACTGATAAACTAGGGTTATAGGGAAGTTTTTTTCAAATAGAAAATACTGCAGAGGGCTGCATTGCTTGATCAGAGTTATCTAGATAGTAAATTCAGGTAAGAATTAAAATCCTACCTTTCTGGCTGACCCCCAGCCTTGGCTAACTCTTTTCATTCATTGTTTACAAACATTGATTGAATGCTTGCTGTGTAGTGGGTTCTGTTCTAGATATAGCAGTGAACTAGATAAGCACATCACCTGTGCTGCCCACTTGGGCCCTCCCTTCTTTGGAGGAAACATCCAATAAATCACCAAACAAGGTGGT